AGATTTTCCTAATGAGTATATTTTCAAGAGTTTTTACTTATTATCTTAAGAAAATAATCTTTTAATTGGAATAATGACTTTTTTTGGCTCTTTGTGAAAAAACGGTTTCCACGTCTAATTCAATAAAAGGATTTTTCCTTCTCGTACAAGGGAAAATATCATTAAATAAAATTTATTTCTATTACTAGAAAGTAAAAAGATTTATTTTGAATTTTAGTTGTTCCGATCTTCATGATTGAATAACTTTTTTTTACATTCATAAAAGATCAAATATTTTACTTAATCTAAGGCCGCTTAAATGAATCCTAATTTATCCCCCCCCCCCACTTGGGGAAAACTGATTCTTCGTAATTAAATAAGATGAATTTTTTGTTATTTTGTCAAAAATATTTAAATTAATTGCTGGCCAAAATTAGAATTTGAAACGCGAATAGTACAGAAAATAAATAATTGAATTTTATAATTAACAGACATAAACACTGTTGAAAAGTTTGGTCTAACATAATTTTATACTAATTGAAAGGGAAACAATTTTATGTATTTTAAATTTTTTTTAACCAAACTAAAGCATTGTTAGCAAATCATATACTGATTAAATGAAAGAAAACAATGAGCCGGAGGTTAGGTTGAAAGGTTTTAGTGTCGGTGGCTGCTCTTGGCTTTAAAGAGTAGAAATGCAGCAAAAATTCACCGAACGCTATCCTTACAGGTGTGGTTGTTCCAATTTAACCGTCCAGTTCTAAACCTAAGTTATATTTTTGCTAAGTATGATCATGCCCTGATGCAAAACTTTTTGCGAGGACCCTTTAATATGTATATCATCCACAGCCATTATCAATCTACTGCTGAAACGAGTTATGCTATCTTTTCTTCTTATTATTTTTTCGTATTACTTATATCATATATTAGATACCTCGTGTATTTATCATAAATATTACATGGATTCAATAAGAAAGTCTTAATTTTTTAGAGAAATTATCTTGAATTTTCTTTCATTTTGTTAACTTAGTAATATGTTTGTTGAATGTGCAAATATAATGTGCTTGCAAATTTATCTTCGGAAAAACGAATGGAAAAGACTAACTAGATTAAAACTAGATTAATTTACTAGTTTCAATTAACTTTTTTAAGCAATGAATTTTTATTTATACATATATTTAATAATAAATATCTATTTCCAATTTACTGATTTAGAAGCGCAATAATGCCATTCAATTTTCCTATGATGAAAATAATTCAATATCTTCGATGGACGTAAAAGAAATATCAAAGCTATACAAAGATATCTATTCGAAAATCTATATTATCTATACAGAGGTCACGTAAATAAGTTTCGAAGAGTATTTCATTACTTAATAAGTAATTTAATAAAGTGGAAAGCTTAGTATACAATTATGACTAGTATAAAACTTAGTACGTTTCAGACGATATTTAATTTTTCCATTTATTAACATTTTCATCATCATGTATAAAATCACCAGGTTTCTTTCAGAGCAATATTGAATTGCTTTTAATATCTAAATCCAATCAGTACTGCGACGAACAAAAAAATATGTTCGTATATATAATTTATCCTTAAAATTATAAAATGGTATAAAAGTTCAGAAAAAAATACTTCACTTTCATCGCTTTAAGAATATTCACTACGATTATAATCTCGCAAATTATTCCTTTTAACTAATGACAGCGTAAAATCAGTTAGATATAATTCAAAGATGGAAGTACGATCAGTTTAAACCATTTTACAGATAATTAAAAACTGCCGAATAATATTTTTAGATAATAGACTGGCTCTTTGCCGAACGTTCTCCCACCGCCCATACAATATCAATTCTCTGTATCTGTATTTAAGTGATGCATAGAGAAACCTTCAAGCTGTTGCTACGTTAAAAATGCTGTTGATGTTTAGAAATTTATCTAGTAATAGCATATATAAAACACGTAAATTATTCATCCTTTATTCATGGAACCCGTATTGAAAGAGCCCATTTACACGAAATGGTAAACAAGTAGAATTACGCTATAGTTTCAAATGATCGAGAGAGTAAAATAGCAATACTTTTTTGCATGAATCTCAAGATTAACAACAACAAAGAAAAAATTATAAAGCTTCGGCATTAAATATTCAATAGTTCTTTCGTTTACACTGAAATCCATCATGGACTACTTATTTCCATAAGAACAATTGAAATGTCTTATTGTTTTTGTCTCAATTGATGGCATCGTCCGCAGCATGAAGCTAATTATAATACCGACAAGACAATGCGTATAATTACGTCAATGTAAAAATATTTTTAAGGTGACTTTTCAATTTCAGCATTACAGCTTAAGAATTTCAGCATTTGTTTCTCAGCTTTTTGATTAGCAAAAGTGCAGAAAAATACCGTAAATTTTGCATCGGTGATGATTAATGCTTGCAATTGCTTACCAGCCAGTATCTGAAAAATCAAGATTAAGTTTTCAACTTTAAACAGAAGAAAGAATAGTTCATTCAAAACACTATAAACATTTAACATTGAAAAAATCTTAAGTTTTCTTAAGTCAAAAGTAAAGTTTGTTTTAAATAATCAACTTACTTTCATTAAATAATCTGAAATTTAATAGTACTGCATAGATTAGAATTATAATATTTTTTTTATCAAGTTTGAATTCAAGATATTATATGTTTCCTTGATTAAACAAACAGAAACTTGCTAGTAGTATTTAGTTTCTTAATAGAGTTCTCGTTAACTAACTTAGAATTCAGGATATTAATTTTGCTTCAAATTAATAATTAGAAACCTGCTAGTACTACGTGATTTGCAATTATTATATTGATTTATCAAGTTTGAATTGAAGATAACAAATTTACTTTAATTTAGCTATCAATTTCAGTACAATCAATTAATTATAATAATCGCAAATTAGGGATTCAGGATATCAAGTTTGTTTTTCTTGCATAGATTTGATATACAGAATTCATAGCCAGAAACTGTAATGAAGAATTTAAAACATCTACGTCTTCAATGGAAAATACTATCGATAATCGGAATTGGTGGTGATATAGTGATAAAAAGAAAGCGCAAAAGCATCGTTTATATGCTGAAATCTTATTGGTTTATTTTTATTTTAATAATTTCATGTCTTCATTCTTCTATCGCACTCTTTTATTATGCCAGTGGAGTTTTTCCACTAATGAACCTTCAAATTTGCCTTATTTCTTCATCTGTTCTTTCACTTATTCTGTGGTTCTTAATGAAGAAACGAAGGGCAAAACTTCGCATTTTGGTTCGAAAATTAAACCACTTAAACTTACTCATTTGTTCTAAAGCATTACAACAGTGTAAATTCATTAAACCTGCGACACTGATTCTACTTTTCATGCTGATTGCTGAGCCAATCATACTTACTCTTTTGGGGATTTATTTTTCTAAATCAGTATTCCTTTTTTGGATGTTTAACATAAAAATTGATAATACAACGCTTGATGCCTTGATTTCCTTTGTCTGCAACATGGCGTATTATTGCCTAAGCACGATTTTTCCGGCAATTATAAACCTAGTATTGTGTCATATGTACTGGAATTGCTCTAGTCTGCTATCAAGATTCGAACACAGGATGAGAAGACACCAAAGTATTTCGTTACACGAAACCTTTAGGTACATTGATTGGTACAGACACTTACAAGACGTGTGCAAATCTGTGAACACTCTTCTTTCGTGGCCGTCATTTATTGTGTGCGTCATATTTTTCTTGAACTCTAGCATTAATCTCGGATGGTTGTTGCAATCATTTTATCATGTCAGAGTCTGCACTAACTTTGTATTCAATTTTGTTGTTTTATTCATCTCACTTTCGGCACTGATTCTAACTGCCTCTGAAGTTCGGTTGAAATCTCTGAAAGTCGTGGAAAGGTTAGAAATGATGTATGAATTATCCATTCGAAAAGTTGGCTTTAAAGACTCTGCTTTTAAATGTGTACCTCCATATGTAAAAATTTACACTGTGGAAATGACTGCTGGTGATATGATACATTTTAATAGAGGACTGATGATTTCTGCGATTGGAGGATTATTCACATATTGCTTATTAATTCTAAACATGAAGGGTAGCTGAATGGCATTGTCATCGAATGAACTGCATAAGATATGAGAATAAGTTATGTACTGACTAATATTATTCATCATGAAAGCCAGTTAAGTTATTATTTTGGTTTCAAACAATGACTATTACTGCTCATCAAAGTTAACTGGGGTATTCTTTTCCTTTTCTTTTAGAAATAAGATGCGCTTTATATGAGAACTATTCAAACATTGACTATTACTATTGACAATTGAAGTTAAATAAAGTGTTGTTTTTTTCTTGAGATATGAAATAAACAAGATGTTAGAATTATTTAAGTATTGCATATTAGTTATGAGTGTAGCGTATCTGTTGCCACTCACTTCAAGTTTAACATTTCCGTCATGTTTTCTTCTAGTTAATTTTTTATTAGAATTTGTGAATCTGGCAATTATATTTTTATGTTCTATTTATGTTATAATATTAAGTTAGAGAACTTACGATACGTTGCGTTTAAGAGAATTCGATACGATTTTCATCTTTATGATGTAAGTTTATGCATCCAACAAATATATGTAAATAATATATTGTAAATAGTCCTATTATTCTGAGTGTTGTATTGTAAAATAAAGTAATTAGAAGCAAAAGAATCTCAAGTCATAACAAAGTGGCGTCCGTGACATGAACATTGTACTCTGCATTTCGATGTGAAATAGAAGACAGCAAAATTACGAACAAGATATTACTTTGTCAAGGATTAAATGGGTACGAGTAATTTTGAATTTGGCTGCTTCTGTTATATCCTTTTTACGAAGTCTTCTTTTATGCACAGTTTATATGTTTGATTTGAATTAAGTTTAAGAACGAAAAATAACTCGAGATTTAGAATAAGTAGAAACTGAGGGCTTATTAAGTGAATTTAGTTAATAAACTGACTAAATATTATTTACATTAAGAATATGGATGCTCTTAAAGTGAAAAGAAAGTCATTAAGAAAAACTTTTACGACCACGTCGAATAAGTTGGCGCAATATTTGGAGACACCGGAAACTGTTGCCAAGGATATTAATCAGTTGCACGCACTAAGGTCACAATTGCAAGATAAATTTTCTCGTTTGAATGAAATTCAAAATGAAATATCCTCTGTACTTTTAGAAAATTCTGAGACCGTTGCTGAATACGAAACTGATTTTGAAGCAGCGGAAAATTACAGAGATAATTATCTTGAACTAGACGCAAAAGTCGCAACTTTTTTAAATAAGGACTCCGGTTCCATCGCCAAAAGTTCTTTAGAGGATAATGCCGTGAAACTAAAACTACCGAAACTTGAATTGAAGACATTCTCTGGTGACCCTAAAGAATATCTCACATTCTGGAGTATATTTTCAAAAATTCATGAATCCGAAGATTTATCTGCGATCGACAAGTTCCAATATTTATACCAATCAATGGTACCCGAATCCAGGGCAGCAAGATTAGTTTCCAGTTTCCCAATAACAGCAGATAATTATCCGAAAGCCATTAAACAATTAAAATTAAGATTTGACAGAGATCTTTTAGTACAAATATACGTTCGAGATCTCCTTTCTCTTGTTATGAAAAATGCTACTGCCGGAAAGAATTCTCCTGATTTAGCTACCCTCTACGATATGCTGGAAACAAAATTAAGAGCTTTGGAAAGTTTGGGACGTACGAAAGAGAAATTTGCTGATTTTCTAGAGCCTCTTGTAGAGTCATGCTTACCTGAAAATGTTATGCAAGCCTGGGAACGGAGTAGAATTTCTGAAAATACTGATGACGTTACCAGTAAAAGATATCTCGAAAAACTAATGTGTTTTTTGAGACATGAGGTCGAATCTGAAGAAATGATCAGTTTAGCTCGTGAAGGGTTTGGTAGAGATAAGGGAAGTGGCGAGAAACAAAAAGATTACCTCAAATCGATCCAAACAGATGAACCTATTGCTACTACACTGATCGCCAACATATCAGTAGGAAAAAACAATTGTATTTTCTGTGACTGTTCACATCCAAGTCAAGACTGTCAGAAAATAGCAGAAATTAGTTATGAGGACAGAAAATCTCGAGTTATACAAAAGAGATGCTGTTTTGTCTGCCTCAAGTCTGGTCACATGGCAAAAAGATGTCACAGTAATGTAAGATGCTTAGTTTGTAAACGCAGGCATTACACAAAACTTTGCCCAGATCTACGTAAAGGAATTAATTCTTCATCTAAGGACAAAATAGCAGGTGATGAACAGAAATCAACAGAAATATCGTTTACGAATCGTCCTTCTGAACGTGAAATATATCTCAAAACAATTACGATCAGACTACGAAACAGAGACAAGGAAGTCTGTGTTCGAGCACTAATGGATGATGGATCACAGCGTTCCTATATTGAAAAGAGTTTGGCTGAAGAACTGAAACTTTCTCCCTCTGGAAGCGAAGTGTTTTCTCAAGGACTATTTGGCGGAGGAACTTCTCCTGTTTCAGAGCATAAGAGATATATGGTAACTGTTGAAAGTTTAAATCGCAAATATACGACTTCACTATCGCTTCTTGACCAAGCAAAGATTTGCTCAGAGCTACCAAGGATACAGGATAGAAGTTTACTTGCTGATCTAGCTTCTCGAGGAATAAAAATAACAGATGTTGGAAAAGATACGCCCCGTATAAGAGTTCTCCTAGGAGCTGATGTACTTGGAAGAATTCTGACTGGAAAAATAGAAGTGTTAAGATCGGGAGTTTCAGCCATAGAAACCTTACTAGGTTGGACAATCTTAGGTCTAGGAAGAAAAAAGAAAAAGGTTAACTTAGTTGCATTAAGTTTGCAAAATATGGAGTTGCCAAAAGTATGTGATTTACACGTTTTAGGCATTACAGATCCCGTGGTAAGACAAAATAAGATCCAACTAGAGGAAGCAGGAACAACTCAATGCGTACGTGGAATAGTATCCCTGAAACAAAAGAGCTTGTGAACTATTCCTAACTTTTAATTTCTTGAAATGTTACAGCATTATGTTTTTTGTATTGCTTCAGAGCAATACAAAGGTGGGAGTATGTTGCCACTCACTTCAAGTTTAACATTTCCGTCATGTTTTCTTCTAGTTAATTTTGTATTAGAGTTTGTGAATCTGGCAATTATATTTTTATGTTCTATTTATGTTATAATATTAAGTTAGAGAACTTACGATACGTTGCGTTTAAGAGAATTCGATACGATTTTCATCTTTATGATGTAAGTTTATGCATCCAACAAATACATGTAAATAATATATTGTAAATAGTCCTATTATTCTGAGTGTTGTATTGTAAAATAAAGTAATTAGAAGCAAACGAATCTCGAGTCATAACAGTATCAAGCTATATCAAAAACAGTTCTTCAGTTTTATTAGAAAAACATTTATTTCACTCCAAAACAAATAAAGTAACAAATATAAAGTTCCCGTAACGGGATAGTTAAATCTTATAAAACAAACTAGAAAAAGTGCCCGTAACGGGATATGTTAAAACTCAAATTCCGCAACGCTGTTGTTCTACCCAAAAGTCTTCTAATTTTATCGTCTACTTCTATTTTATTAATTACCTCTTTATGTGTTTAGTTTATTTTATTCATGCTTTTGCCAGCCCGTTACTTTTAAATATTTTTTACTTTGATTAATGCTTTTGCTAGCCAATTATTTTTTTAATATTTTCAGACTTTATGTGAGTTAGTTATTTCTTAATTGGGAAGTTAAATGTACTGGGAGTAAAAAAAAAACGAACCACCCTGAATAACTTTTGATCTTATGATCAGATTTTCACGTTTTTAGGACTGAATCTTAATGGTTTAAAAGGGTGACCTCAATTATGCTAATTAATTAGTGTAGACAATATTTTAAGTAACGAAATCAGCAAAACCTTAATTTCTCTGAAGAAACATATCTTTTTTCAGTCGGATTCGGATTTCTGAAACCCAAACNATTCATGCTTTTGCTAGCCAATTATTTTTTTTAATATTTTCAAACTTTATGTGAGTTTGTTATTTCTTAATTGGGAAGTTAAATGTACTGGGAGTAAAAAAAAACGGACCACCCTGAATAACTTTTGATCTTATGATCAGATTTTCACGTTTTTAGGACTGAATCTTAATGGTTCAAAAGGGTGACCTCAATTATACTAATTAATTAGTGTAGACAATATTTTAAGTAACGAAATCAGCAAAACCTTAATTTCTCTGAAAAAACATATCTTTTTTCAGTCGGATTCGGATTTCTGAAACCCAAACTATAGGCGGTAGCCGCAATCTGGAAATAAGGTTTCCATAGTCTGATCATGTGAGCGATTCAAAATTTGGACCCCTTAATGTTAGTTTTACTCTTTGCGAACTGTGCCATATATCGAAAACTTACCATATCAAGAGAGCAGTTTTCAAACAGTTTTGCTCACAATTATAAAATTCTATTGCTCACAATTATAAAATTGTGTTGCTCACAATTATAGTGCCCACAATTATAAAATTCTATTGCTCACAATTATAATACACACAATTATAAAATTCTATTGCTCACAATTATAATGTACACAATTATAAAATTCTATTGCTCACAATTATAATGCACACAGTTATAAAATTCTATTGCTCGCAATTATAGTTCTCACAATTATAAAATTCTATTGCTCACAATTATAAAGCTCTCAATTATACAATTCTATTGCTCACAATTATAATGCTCACAATTATAAAATTCTATTGCTCACAATTATAATGCACACAATTATAAAATTCGTTTATCCAAAGATAATTCCACACGAAAAATACATTTTAGTAGATATTTATTATTTTTTATTATTTTATTATGTAGTAGTCCAAAAATATGAATTGTAAGGTACATAATTTTACATGGAAAAACGCAAAACTAGAGCAAAAAAGGTTCATTATTATTACTTCTCAGTAAAGTTGACTGAGGTGCTATTTTCTATTGTTGAAAATTAAAATGTGTGTGTCCTGAGAAATCGAATTTTAAATATACGTTTTCTATAAATTTTGATTTATTAGGAACAATTTGGCGAATTTTGCTCAAATCTTGTATTTTGCCATTTAAATTTAGGTATTTTGAAATGATTGCATAATCTTACAGTACTTGAAACTGCCTACCTCACAATTCAAAATTGTTTCGTCTATTATAATATAATAAAAAATAAATATTTGCTAAAACTTATGATTTGCATGGAGTTATATTTGGATAAATGAATTTTATAATTGTGAGCAAAATTTTCTTAATTCGCTTAAAAAATATGGTGAAATACGCAATATGGTGAAATATGTGAAATACGCAAGAAATAAAGATAACATTAGGGTACTAAACTTTGGATAGCTCTCCTGACCAAACTATGGTAGAATATTTCCCAGATTGAGACTATCCCAATTATTTTGGTGATACGAATCCGTTGAAAAAAAGGGTATATTTATTTAGAGAAAATACGTTTTTGTGTCTGATTTCATAATTAAAAACATCGTTTGCTCCAAATAATTGGCATATTTGAGGTCACCCCCTCGATTCATGAAGATTGAGTTCCAGAAGACGAAGACCCAACCATTAGATCAAACGTTACTCAAAATTGATCGTTTTTTTTTCGCTTTTTTTTCTTTTTAGGGTACTGTACAGTGCGCGAGAAAACTAAACAGTCTGACTATCTTTTGATCTAATGATTGGTTTGTCACAAACTACAACCCAAACTTAATAGTTTAAAGGGTGACCTCAAATACGAGGGTTGCTATTTATATTTCTGGCCCAATAATGGAAAAACAAATATGTAGGATCGAAATTGGTTTTATTGTTTTTCAAAATATTCTCCATGATGATCAATACACTTTTGCATGCGTTTGAACCAATTTTCAAAGCACTTTTTCCAGTCCGATTGAGGTAACTCCAAAACATGCGTTTTGAATGCCTCAACCGCTTTTTCGGGGGTCGAAAATCGTTGTCCACGTAATTTATTTTTGATGTGTGGGAATAAGAAGAAGTCATTGGGTGCCAAAGCAGGGCTGTATGGCGGATGACCCATCAGTTCGATCTTTCGCTCCTTCAGAAATGCCTTTGTTTGAGTCGATGTGTGAGAGCTCGCATTATCATGATGAAGAATGATTCGCCTGTTCTTCTGCTTTTTTTCGAATTTATCTGATGACTTCTGGCAAGCAAATGGTCGTGTACCATTCAGAATTGACCGTCCTGTGTTGCTCTAACGCCACTGTTGCCACATGACCGTTAATGCCGAAGAAACAGGCAATCATTTGTTTCGATGTGCTTCTTCCTCGAACAACTTTTGTTGGTTTTGCCTCGTCTTGGAAGACCCATACAGTTGATTGCTGTTTTGTTTCCGGCTCATATGCATAGATCCATGATTCGTCACCTGTGTAGATGTTATACACAGCCTTTGATGTACCTTGAACGTATTTTTCCAACATTTCCTTGCACCAATCGACACGAGCCTTTTTTTGAGCGTTTGTCAGATTATGCGGGATCCAACGCGAACAAATTTTTTTTACGCTCAAATGTTCATGCAATATTTTATTGATGCTAGTCATACTAATGTCCAAAGACGCCTCTATCTCACGGTATGTCACATGACGATCTTGCTTTATCAGTTCACGCACAGCATCGATCTTTTCTGGCACAACAACGGATTTTGGACGACCTGCACGGGATTCGTCCTGGATCGAACATCGACCACGATTAAATTCGTTATACCAATTTTTTACAGTGCTGTAGGATGGCGCTTTATCGCTGAATAAAGAATTAAGTTCATCGAAGCACTCTTGTCTTGACAATCCACGTCGAAAGTTATGAAAAATAATGGCACGAAAATGTTCACGATTCAATTCCATTTTTTGAAAGAGAAGAACTTTTCAATTTACTGTCAACAACACAAATGAAGCTATAATGGTAAATCGTCTGCTGAATTTATGTTTAAAAACATCAAACTTTCGATTAAAATCGTCTGCGGTCACCTAGCAACACTTACTGTTGCCAAGGCCAGAAATATAAATAGCAACCCTCGTATGTGACGATATTTTAAGTTACAAAAACAGACTCAAAAAGCGTACCTTCTATGAATAATAAACATGCCTTTTTCTCAATCCTTTTATCTTTATTTCATATAGATGACTTTTTTAAAATTGGATTTCTCATAAACTATTCGACAGAATTCACGTAAGTTTAGCATTTCGTCATTTTGTCTTATCAATTTACATTCTTCAAAATGATGTAAAAAATTTTATACCACGCAATTCAAATATTTTTCGCTTGTAATTGTAAATATAATACTAAACAATTATCAAAAACTATATTTTCCCGGAATTATCTTCGAAAACTTATTCTTTAATGGTATGCAAAGTAATTTCAATTCGTTTAAAGAATTTACGAGATATCGAGAGCTATGCAAAAAGTACAAAAATCATATTAGGGTCCGAATTTTCTACCGCTTTCCTGATCAATTGACCCTGATTGCAGCTGCCATTTCTGCTTTGATTGTCAGAAATCGAAATCCAAGAAACTAGAGTCATATTACTTCAGAGAAAGTACTTTTTTGTAACAGATTTCGTAAAACATCGTCTGCATTAATTAATTAGTATATTTTTAGTCATCCCCGTGAACCCTTTAAGTTTGTGTCCTATTTCGTGAAAATCCGATCATTGGGGATCAAGAGTTATTCAGGGTATTCGAACTTTTATTTTACGTACTGTACAAGATGTGAGAATTATTCAAGCATTAAGTTCATGTTAATACGCATCTTGAAAACTAACTGAATTTTTTTTTCGTTGAAAAATAAAATGAAAAATACGAGGACTTACTATAAACAGCATGAAGTTTAAATAAACGACTGTTTTTTAGCGGATTAAAATGAAATCATATAAAGATAATTCATGTATACCAATATACTTTCTATAACAAACATAGATCGTTATAGTTCGTAGTTGAATCTCTTTGGTATAATG